ATGCCCATTTTAAAGATAACAATAACTAAGTGGGGCTTTTAGAAAAATCCCTTTAAATAAATACCTAATATCTACGCCACTGAACATCTGAAAAAACTGATGTATAGTATTTGTAATACCCATTTAGAATAACCCCATCCTTATTTATCAATCACGAATCAGATGAAACAAAAAATTACCAACAAAAACAAACGTCGATTGCTAATACGTCAATTTCATCTACAAATAGGAAATTCCTAACCTAATTTTATTTGTGTGTCAAGAAGCGACATACGTTTTGTCACTAAAACGACAGGTACTTCTAAATAGGTATTAAAAATACTATAGGTATATCTGTTTGATAAGAAATTTTCCTCTCCATAATTTTTCTTGCCTGACATTTTTTCCTAAAATGCTTAGTTTTGGAGTTATCAAGAAAAATTTAAAAAAAGGTAGACTTCACCCCACTTAAGAGGTGGTTTTGGGGTGACGGGCTCAACGCTTCGGCGCTGGGGGTCAGAGGGTATTTAGTACCCTAAAACAAAGTCTCTTCCCAAGTTTCAGCTTGTCTCTAATTTGTTGAACGTTATCCATATAAAACGATGGATAGGCCCTGTACTATATTGTTTGTTCTTAAAATCAATTTAATTTCCAATATTAAGACGCACGAGCGTCTGGGTATAGCCGATGGCAGTAGAAATAATTTTATTTCAATGAAGACTCTGTGTTAATCATGTCTGGTCTTCAGTCAAAACAATTATTCAACGAGGTACATGTAAATAACCTCATCATCTGATTAGACACAATCAGATTTGAATAGCGTAGTAACTTATTGCAATAAGAAACGACTAGAGTGTAACTGTATACTTGCTATTACGGGGCAAGGACTCCCTTCAAAGATTGGCCGATTGGAAATGACAACCATACTCTCTGTGTCCTTATTCTTGAAACAGGGGAAACACTCGTTTTCCTGGGAACGCTGCTCCCCTGTTTCAAGAATAAGACCCTGATGTCTTCGAAATGAAAAGATTTAGGACTAATTCTGGAATCCAAGCTCGCTTTTATATTCCACATCCCATCCAGAAAGCCTTTTCAAGATCTCTCTAGCTGCTCGATTTCATAAGGCGGATTACCAAGGAGCTACTTATACTACAGCGATCAAATGACTATATTTCTTATTGATAAGGATGATATCGAATATCTGTTTTATCCAGAATCCTACTATAATATACATATCCAAAACATTGGAAAAGTTCAACATAATTTCTTGAAATGCCTTGAACAGAGTCGGTATCTAATATACCTAGTTGTCCACTGGTATTGAACAAAATAGGTCTGCATTTGCTTTCTAGTATGTCTACGCTTCCAGGGCAACTCGCCCAAATATTACGTTTTTTGTATCCGCACTGATACAAACAACTATGGTCCAGTAATTTTATATCTCGGCCGAGTAGGGTGGGAACTGTGTCAACCGCTCTTCTTTAAGTTCCTTGTTCTCTACGAACGTTGGCAATCATCAGCGCGCTATCTGTACTTTTTCCTTTTTCGACTGCCTTTCTAAATAGACTTATCGTGGTTACGCAAATTCTTTAGCCAAGATATTCTTCGACGTCCAGGGCCTCTTCTGCCTTCGATTTTTCCCTGGATTATGACCTTGAGAGGTAGGTATTTGTCATTCCTGAGTATGATTACGAAGTAATATAACTTTCGCTTTTTAAGTGTGAACATACCTTCAAGATCTTTTGACATTCTCGTTAGCACATCTTCATTGCGTACTCTGTCCGTCCAAGATATTTTTAATATCCATATGTCCACATTTCAAAAGCCTCATCTAGCTTTTTACACATGGCGTCTGTCAGACTCCACGCCTCAATCCCATAATAAAGAATACTGAAGACGTAGCAACGTAGTACTCGAGTGCGAACGAACAGCGAGAGTCCGAGAGACCTCGACTACACAACACGGAGTTTACTGTTACAAATGATGCTCTGGCTTGTTCAATCCTGGCACGAACCTCCTGCATGTTATCCCAGTCTTCATTAACCTGACATCCTAGGTATCTGTATGATTGGACCCGATTGATCTGTTTTGTACCTGAAGAATACCTCCTCTAATCTGGTTCTCACCATCCAGTTAATTTTTTTGACTCAATTTTAATCCAAATTTTTCACTTCCAGCCAAACGATCAAGTAATACTTGAAGACCGTCTAGAGAATCAACGATTAAAACCATATCGTCCGCATACCGAAGATAACTAATGTTCACGCCGTTAATTGAAATTCCCCCAGTGCAGTTTTAATGCTTTTTCAAATATTTTGCTGGAATAAATTTTAAAACGTAATGGTGAAAGGATGCAACCCTGCCGGACAACTCGTTTCATCTGTACTTCATGCAGTCTGATTCCAGAAGAGACTTGCGATTATCTTGAGGTCTCTATCCTTGAGAATTTTCATAAGCTTCTCATGTTGTACCCTGTCAAACGCTTTCTCATAATCTACGAAGCATGCGTAGGATATAGGAACAGAAACATCTCTACATCTTTGAACTAGCACTTGGATGATGAACCGTTTGAGAAAGTGGCTCATCAAACTAATAAGGCTACATCTTTTTGCAGAGCTTTTCTTCGGAAGCCTCACAAATGTTGATTTGAGCAAGTCACTATTGCATTGCATGTAGTGACTCCTCATTTTTTAGGATTTTATTAAGTTCTGAGCACACACCGTCTGGACCTGCAGCTTTCCTGTTTTAGGATAAATAACTGAATGGCGTGTAGGACTTCTTCCTTAGTTATATCTAGTCCTTCTCGTGGATACTCTTTTATTTTACGATTCAACTGGCGATATGCTGGCTGATCTTTTTGCAGGCGTCTATCTTCCATAAAGTCAAGGATTTAATCAGTCATCCAAGATTATTTCCTGACCCTAGTGTTGCTTGATGACAATTTCGAGATGACGCTAACAAAGGCTTCCCTGATACCGGTCCATACTTCTTGATTCTCTGTCCTGTTTATTACTATCTAATTCGTTTCTAACTTCGGCAAGAGTTGTTTAGTATTGTCAGATCCAGTCTTGGGTTGTTCCTTTTAGCTGTACATCTTTTTAGTGTCAACTGGATGTTCGCTACACAAGCGGATTGTGATCCAAATATATAATTGCGCCAGGAGTCTTTGCAGATTTGATGCAATTTCTGTAGCGTTTATTTATCAGTACGGAATCAATTTGGTTTCTGACAATTCTATCCGGCGTATGAGCCTTAGAAGTCCAGGTGTAAAGACGTCTTGGTGGAAATTGGAAAAAAAGTGTAATAAAAAGAAACGTACGTACGTTTTCGTAATCGAAGCATTCTTTGATTTGTTTTTTTTTTCAAGACCTGTTATAAAGCCAGCCTTAACTAGAATTATTTTTTGTTAACATGTTTGTATCAGCTGTCAGTTTTCCTTTTCAAAAATACCAAAGTTCAAATGTCTTCGCAAAATTATCAGTGTCTGGACTAGTGGATGCCTGTGAGAAGTGAACAAGATATATTGCTGCATTGATATTTTGTTTCGATGGAAGTTGACAATTCAAAATGGCTCCTGGAAAATTATCTCATAATTAAATTACCCAATTTAAAATAATTATGCAATATGGAATTCAGTTATAAAAGAAGAATCAATATTCATATCAGGCCATCATACAAATACAAATTTAAATACCTGCGTATTAATTATTGATATAGGTATAGAGTGAAAATTTGTATTCTGGATAAACCACCAGAAGAAATGAATGCAAGCAAATAATGTAAAATTTTAAACGTGCCAAGTCATTCATAAATTGGTCCTTCAGAAATCTAGAGCACATTGCAAGTAGCTCTCAGCAAAAAAGCAATCAATTTAATAAGTTAATAGGGCAAATTTATTCATTTAAAGAGTACATATGCAAAGTGTCGTTCCAGTAACTCAGTAGGAGTCGTAATTCTAAGACAACCTAATAGCTAATTGAGTTAAAAATAAAACGCATTACTCAATTTTCACAAGAATTTTCAACTCAAAATTAATATCGACAGAAATTGCTGCATTGAACTCGTCCAATTTTTATGTCACAATCATTGTTTTACGTCGCTTTTCTTGTTAATTGACTGACTCAACATCGAAGTTAAGCACAAGTCTGACACGAGTTTGGCGATTGAATTGAGGCATGCAAATATTATCTACCAATTAACTTGATCTTTAAAATGAATCAACAAGGGGCGCGAACTTTGAGCCGAAATTGACGCATGAAAATTAAAACGTTCTGTTGTGCTAAGTCACCTAATCAAATAATAACATTTTTATTAGAACAATTAAATGCATAATGGATCGTGTGTGGTTTCAGTGGTTTTACTTATATCACTGGATCGGAACGCGGGTAGCACATGCTAATAAAATTAATTGAAAACTTTTATTTTATTTATGCTTTATTATAATACGTATATTGGCGCGCCTTTGATTAGGTCATTTCTGTGAGGAATAATATACCTATGTTTTTTCTTGCGCTCTACGACTTCTTACGATTCCATTCTTGTCTATTTTACCAGACGATGATTCCAAAATCAAATCAAATCAGAAATAGCTTCATTGTCTTAAAACATTTCATGTTTTTGACACAGCTGTCAGCTATACCTAGTTTTTCCTAGCTGCCTTTCTCTGATTTCCTCATCTACCCGCTTCTTGAGCTTTTTTTGTTGATACCCTTTTTCTCCAGCCTTGTACCCAAGTAATTAATACACCTAATGATATAAATCTTTGTCGTAACCAGTAACCACTCTTCCCAGGGATACAACAGATTTTCAACGTTCATCCTTTTTGATACCGAAGAAGACAAAGCAGAGACATACATATACAGAACAAATAAAGATATTCTTCCAAACAATGTTTTTTTGCAGTTGCTAAATTTTAAATGAATAAAGCTTCAACATAAATTAGCCGTTACTCGATATTTTCGATTCCATTTGAAATACCTATAACTAAAACAAAATATTAAAATTTGATTTTATTTTTTCAGTGACCGTTTTGAGTGTAATCTATGGCGCACCATCTAAAGGTTCTACCAAGGCTTCCCTGAAAAAAAAACAGACATGCGTCAAAGATTGTAGTGACCCTGACAAACCTGAAAATAGTTATAAGCCAATTTGTGCAGGAGATGGAACCAAAAATATCAGTTTTGGCAGCGCATGCGTTTTAGGAAACTATAATTGTGAAAACCAAAAAGGTAAGAAACTTTTTTGTACATCATTATTAAGTAGGTACCTATTACTATTAGATAAGCAGTTAGGCGGAAATGTCCGATATAATCTTGTGTGATACTTTTGATATCTTCTGTATATAGTTTTTGTTAAAAGTATTATATTATTATATTATATTGCATTTGTCATTGTCATTAGTTTTTCATCATTGTGAATGTCGTGTATAATTTATTAAAGCCTAATTTCTAAAGGTACACGGAAAAAAATGCAATTCTATATCCAAGAGTAGTAATATACTTATAATTTTATATTTGATCCAGTAATAATTTACTTAGTAAAACAATACTTTATTATACATTGAAATATTCGCTTAATGTTATTTTGAAACTCTTTAAATATTCATCTCAATTATTTTTCATTTAAATCAAGAATAAAAAATATATTTTATCAAATATGGGTTTGTTCTTAATGTAATGTTGAAATAATTTCTCGTTTGAAATACCTATAGTTTGAAGAGAGTATATTATTCTTAAATGAAATGCATGTTTGTTTCAACCTGCCTTCTAGTCGCCTTTGTGCTTTGCTTCGCGTTGCGTTCTCTCCCATTCATTCCATTGAACATCAAGTTGAAGTTTGGTTGAAGGGACGCCGAAGGACGCCACGCGACGCTACCTGTGTTTTTACAGTGTTTTTCGTGATAAAATGGATTTTTTGTTGAAGAAATGGGATTTGGAATGTTTAATTCCAATATTTGAAGGTAAGTTTCACTTTTCCTGCTCAATTTCCGGGAAAAAAACAATCAAAAAATTATTAGGCATTGTTGGCGTGGGTGGCCATCATTTAGGTAAAAACTTAAACCGCGTGTTATCTTTCATCATGTAGAATAGTACCTTATCCAATCTATTTGCCTTTTGCTTTAGGATAAGTTGTTGACAAAGTGTCTATAAAAACATTATTTTTGATTTTAGGAAATGAAATTGACTTGGACAATGGTTGAACATAAATGATGAACAAAGTAAAGAGCGAATTCCCATAATGGAGGTTAGATTAAAATTGGCCAAGAAAATGAATCGGTACAAAAATGGCGTTAAAGGTGAAGAAAATGCAGCATCTATAACGGATTTTCCCAACCTTCCAGTGGTATGTGAATAATTAATAAATAAATGTACCTATCTATGATTGTTATTGTACTTATCACAATTAACTTTTTGTTATTATTCCATCAGTTTATACCTTTATATTATATTATATTAATTGTTAAAAGAAGAATTTGAAGAATAAAATATACTTCAGAGTAAACTGTGTTTCAATATTAATGGTAAGTACACGAGTAGTTAAAACAATAAGTTATTTTTGAAGTATGAATAAGAAATATTTGGAAATAAATTGTAGTTTTTGTGATAACTATAAGTAATTTTTCGAATAAGAATAACAATACTTGATCAACAAATCTACCTTATTCTTGAAACAATTACTAGGCTATTCTCGAATTCGACACTACCGTATTCTGGATATAAGTTGAACTTATTTTCAATTCTTAAGAATAGGGCAATACTAGAATTAAATATTATATTTTCTTGTGGAATAGTGAGACGAATATATTCTTGGGCAAACGCTACTATTCTTAAATATAGTGGACTGTTTTTTCCGTGTAATTCAGTAAATCATTACAATTTAATAAACAGGATAAACTCTTAAGACCTGAATGATTCGACGCTGATCAAAACTCTCTAAAAGCTGCACAAGAGTGGACTCACTGAAAAGCAACTTTCAACAATTTCATATCATCCGTTGATAAGCTAGAAAAGGATGAAAAACTAATGATAATGACAAATACGAGATGATAATAATTAATACTGGTAACAAAAACTATATACAGAAGATATCAAAAGTACCACATTCTCCCCAGGTTTATGGCCACAACAGCCTTACAGTCTCAAATATCAGGTCATTGTAGACTTAGAAATGGGGCATACATACAGAAAATTACGTGTACCTATCAAAATTTCTGATTTATGTGCTGATGTCATTATAGGTCCTAATATTCTTAGACAGTACTCAACCCTTCAAGTATCTTCTGGAGGTTCTAAGTCTCCCTTGTATATTGACAACTCATCATCGATTTTGTAGTTTGTCGTTCCTAAAGATTCATCCGCCTGCATTATTTGCAGTCTAGACGATTTTCACCAGAAGATAGACTTATTTCTATTGTAATAAGAAACCTTCTTTTAAATAAAATCATAGAAGAAAGCAACTCTTCTTGGCGCGCACAGGTGTTGGTAACGGAACATGAAACGCACAAGAAAATTATGGTGATTGATTACTCTCAAACCAATAACAGGTTTACATATTTAGATCCTTATTGTCTGCTCAATATTGAAGATATTGTTCGTGCTGTAGGGAAATTCAAGATTTTCAGTACTATAAATTTACAAAGTGCATATCACTAAGTTCCCATACGTGACGACGAGAAGCAGTATGCTGCTTTTGAAGCAGAAGGTAAATAATTACAGTTCCGAAGAATTCCTTTTGGTGTGACAAACGGAGTTGCGTGTTTTCAACGGGTAATAGACTGCATAATAAAATCAGAGAATCTTGAAGGTGTCTATGTATATTCCGATGATATTACGATATGCGGTAGAAATCAAGCAGACCATGACAATAATTTAAAAGAATTTTTGCTTATTGTAAGGAAATACAATTTTACCATAAACGAAAAGAAAAGTTCTCACTCCCTTAAATCAATCAAACTTCTTGGATATCTGATGGAGAATAATGCCTTGATCCACTTAAACTTGAACCTCTATGAAAACTACCTGTACCTGAAGACTCTCAGTCGCTGAAAAGAACTCTTGAGAGAAAATTCATCGACTGTTGTCAGAAATCTGTGTAAACGATTTCGAGAAGCTTAAATTGGATATTGAAAAATCAGTTGTTACTTCAATCGAAGATAATATTCCATTTATGGTCGAGACTGATGCTTCAAAACATTCCATTGCTGCCATTTTGAGTCGAGCAAGAACGCCAGTTGCATTTTTCTCGAGAACACTAAGTGAGTATGAACAAAATCATTCATCAGTTGAAAAAGAAGCTAATTCCATAGTCGAAGCAATTAAAAAATGGAGACATTTTCTGATTGGTCGTCATTTTCAGCTGATTACTGATCAGAAATCTGTATCTTTTATGTTTGATACCAAACACAGTAGCAAAATAAAAAATGAGAATATTTTAAGATGTCGACTTGAATTATCATGTTCCAGCTACATTTTCTCGAATGTGGTTCAAATAGTCATAAAACTTTATTCGTTTTTTGATTTACATCAGGCCTCAGAATCAGGCTTTGTGTCATCCTATCACCAGAATGGTCCACTGGGTCAGACCTCGCAATATGCCCTACTCTATAGAAGATATTCGTATTATGTCAGAGTCTTACCCAGTCAGTGCAGAACTCAAACCTGAATTTATTAAAAATCAAGGGACACTCATCAAATCAACTTCGGCTTTCGAGAGAATATCTCTGGACTTCAAAGGCACTCTTCCATCTGATTCAAGGAACAAATATATACTCACTATCATCGACGAGTATTCTCGCTTTCCATTCGCCTATTCATGCCAAGACATGACTTCTGAGACGGTGATTCGGTGTCTAAGCAACTTATTTTCCATTTTTGGGATGCCTGGATATATTCATACAGATCAAAGATCTGCAATATGCAGATCAACACGTTATAATCCAGTAGACAATGGTCAAACAGAACAGTTTAATGGCATAATTTGAAAGACGATTACTCTAGCCTTGCGCTCAAGAAATTTGAAAATTCAACACTGGGAATCGGTTCTTAAAGATGCATTGCATTTGATCAGGTCTCTTTTATGTACATCAACTAATTCTACTCCACATGAAAGAATGTTCTGTCATTGAAGAAAATCAATGAATGGTACAGCAATACCTTCATGGCTAACTTCTGGAAAAATTTATATGAAAAAGCATGTCAGATAATCACAGTACGATCCTCTCGTTGAAGAAGTAGATCTTATTGAAGCTAACCCTCAATATGCGTTAGTTCGACTTTCAAATGGACGAGAAGCAACGGTTTCGCTAAAACATCTAGTTCCATGTGGTGATGAAAGTCTACTGCAATCGGAAAATAATGCTGATAACCATGTTATAAATATTGCTACTTAATCAGAAGAAAGTGTAGATTTTTTACAGGAACCTATTCCCACAGAACAAATGCGAGACATAGAACAAGAAAATGTTAGTGAGACAATAAACCAGTCTTAATCTATTCACTGTGAGCTACAACTAGAAACCAGATCCGTCGTGGATCAAGAACTAGACAATCTCTCAAACATCTTGATGATTATGTTGAAAAATAAACCTCGGGGAGAATGTGGTACTTTTGATATCTTCTATATCCATCAGTACCTATTAATTATTATCATATTGTATTTGTCATTGTCATTAGTTTTCCATCATTGTGAATGTCGTGTATAATTCTTGTTTATTAAAGCCTAATTTCTGAAGGTAATTCAGTAAATCATTACATCTTGTTTGTGTCTTCTGAACACGTTAGCATATTTCCGATATCTAAAACAGACCTACATATATTATACTCGCGAAACCAAATTATTACTTTATTGCAAAATTGCTGATACTGCACAATCCTTTTTTGTTTTGATATAGTTTTGCATTTCTTTACCAAAAGATAAAAGGATTCATTATTGCGGTATAGCTCGGAACAATCATTATATTTTTCGAAAAATGGACTACATATAAAATCCAGAAAAAATACCATGTTGCTACAAGATGAGTGCTAATTATTTTCTTGGGTCCATATATGTTTTGAATTAATTTCTGAAGATCATTACGAACGTGTGTGAAAAACTTCCTGAATTATTTGTTTCAGGGTTAAATAACTTTCAGAATGTGTCACTGTGCTTTCAATCAGAAATAATTTAGTAATGATATGATTTTTTTTCGACCTATAAAACAATTTTAAATTTGTGAAATATTTTTAATTTTTTAATCGATTATTCGTTTTTATTTTTCAGATTTGAAAATAATGGCCCAAGGAGAATGTCCAGGAGGAGGTGGAATCCGTCTTTCATAAGTCTAGGTTAATTTGGAAGTAATATTTCAGCATAGATGTTCTTGATTTTTTTGACATAATTTTATGTTCTAACTAAGCAGCTTTGTAATAATTTCTAAACTAATAATAAAAAACATGTAAAGTTTAAATAGAAAACATCTCACTTGTCTATTCAACTATTTTGAACGCTTCCAGAACTGTTTCTGATTGAAACCAAAATAAAGTTTGAAAGTGAATTCATTCATTGGTTCCGTGCATTAATTATTTTATATTCGGGGAGTTTCGAAATATGTTTGATGCAGATAGATATACTTTTCCTATTCCTTATTTCGCCATTCAACAATGATGCTCCGTCATAACGGTTGTAAATAAATTTTAAATATGATTTATAAAATATATTCACAGTAGATCAGCAAAATTACGTTGGTTATACAACTCATCAAGTCGCCAAAAACACTCCGCCCGTTTCGTGTGGTTCGAGAAAATAGACTCGCGGTTTTCTTCGTTTGCCGCGACCGGTTAAATCAAGACGGTTTCGGTTGTACTCCTTCGTATTGTACTTGAACTTCCTGAAAGAGCTGGCCAGCTGAGTGGAGTTTGGAAGTATAGCCAGGTAAGGTGATAAAATATCCTTTTCAGTTTCGATATCTTTCAATTTCAATTTGAAATCTTTCATCGATTACCATTCTATCAGCAACCTGTGGATTTTCCAGTTTTAATTTCGCACATTAATTTGGTATTATTCCTATATGACACGAGAGGCTTAACAAGTGATAAGCCTTTTGGGATTATCGCGTTTGCTTGGTGTATTAAAGTTTAGTTCGTAGTATAACCTTTTGAATACCACTCGATGTTTCAGGATTACCTAATACTTTTACCTGACACTCAACGCGTTATCAGCAACACCACTCCTCCTTCGTAACGCGTTTCGTGTCAGGTGAAAGTATTATCCGGTAATCCTGAAACCTCTTGTGGTATTCGACAAGTATTGAAAAAATAATCGGAAGTCTAACCTTTTTTTAGGTTAACATTCCTAACTTCATTCTCCGCAATAAAAATCGTGTCAAATTTTTCAGAAAGCTGAATAAAATTCATATCATTTATTTACGACTAATGTATAATGTGCGTATTATATTTGTGATTTTGGCAGTATAATGACATATGTTATTCCTCCAGGGATTAATGACGAGTAGCGGGATTGATGGTCATTATTCCATAAAAGTGTCAGTGTCAAACGTGTAGTGCTTGTGGATTTGTATTGAAAATTATGAGACGGATGAAATTTATCCATTGAAAATCTCAAATAAATTAATTTGTCGTAAATAAAGTAGAGTATACTACTCGCAATAATGGCTATTATTCCCTCGGGAATAATAGCTATCATTATTGACTCGTGGTATAATCTACTATTAATAAGTAAACACCAGGTTTATACAGAGTAATATTTTTAAATATTTCTTAATGAATACAGGAGTTAAATTCCTGGATAAAAGTACCTTTCTTGAAACTTTACTCAAAATTAACGAAAGTAATCTTGCGAATGATGCAAGTTGATGGCCTGCTCTGTCGTAATAGTAACGCATTATGGAATTTCGCAGCGTTAGACAAAAACGAAAATTGCAAAAAAAAAACAGTGTGCTTCAGTATAAACTAGACATCAGATTTGAAGATATTTTTATCCTAACGGTGTTCAGACTGTTCAGTACCTACACGAATTTTGTCCGCTTAAAAACAAACAAAAAAATGATAGGTGAAAATCATGTCATCTCACCATGAATAGCTGTCGTCCATCCGAAATAATGTGTGAGGAGCACCATCCAGAATAGTTTTGTAAATAATTTGAAAAATATTCCTGGCGACTAGTCCCGATTACTAAAAGGTATTGGCAAATCAATGCAAATCGGGTAATTAGTGGAGCTGAAATCGCGTCATTTTCAGGCCCGTTAATTCTTGGTAGGCTGTAAGAGTGGCACTCAGCATGGCTGTCTTAAGCATTGACCAATGCTCTTCAATATTAGGAATATTAAGCAAATAATTTCTAATCCAAGAGAAGCTGGCTGGAAGTTTCTTCTAGTGTGTTCATCCTAAAGTCGTTAAATATATATTTAACCTGCGTTGTGGTTGTTTCCTTCATTGCGTTGGGTACTTTCACGTCACGTCGTATGAACTTGAGTTATAATTGAAGAGTAGGTATAACTTCTGAAGGGTCTATGTGGCAACAATACATGCATTTGGTTCTGATATTGATTTAAAGATGGTGCAGGATGTAAGTAAAAACTTTATGTAAGCATGTTTTTTAGTATTTTTCTTGTTTTTTTCAAAATCAAAATTTTGGCACTTAGACCCTCTAGAAATTATACTTTTCAATTATTATTAGTGCAAAGTTTACGAAGGTGACAGTGTGTGAAGACAGAATTGATAACTGCGCTGCGCTTATTGCTAGCATTATTGTACCTACCAGCTTAAGCTGTAGCAATCCATAGAACCATGTCCAACGACTTGTTCACCATTTAATCATGGTGCGACTTCAACCTTCTCTGCTTCAACGTTGGGAAAACTAAAGATTTGTCATATAAAAGTACGTTTCAATCTTTCGTACCTAATAACACCACTATTATAAACGTCGTTGATTCTGCAACATTTTTGGGCCTTGTTATTGACAACTTCCTGAAATGGATCTTCTCTATATCGATGCTTCATCCAATAATTTAAGTTCCGCTTGTTTTGCAATAAGATCAGTTTCAAACGAGCTTAACTTGTCGACTTCCAGAACAGTCGACTTGGTCCTTTTCGAATCACATGTTCGATACACAATTCCATTCTAGGATTCGTCGCCTCCAGTGGCCCCAATCTAATTTATTATACTTGGTTGCCCCTATGAATTCAATAACAATTTTTTGGGTGTGCTAGCTCTAAAAACTGGTGTGCTAGGTTGTGTTAGCTACTCTTTATCTCTGCAATCAAATATCGGAGTCGGAACAAAATAAGCAATTTGGCAAAATTAGAATATAGAACATCATCGTCAAAAGCATAGTCTCAGTTCAAAAGTCTGACCACTAAACTTCCCCCTGGATTCCACTCAATGATTTGCCTGTACCTATTCTGTCACTAGGGGGAAGAAGAAGAAGCAAGACCAAGAAAAAGCCGGCGAAGTGGAGTAGACGGAGAAATCAGACAGAGGCTTGGTGTAGGATGTCTGAGTTGACAGAGATGGTTGAAGATCGGAAGTCGGGAGACGTAGAGCTTACACATCATCATAGACCGCGTTAGAATTAGTGAATACTCGCGCTCTGGATCGTGAATATTGGCGTCGGCCTCTCACATAGCATTATTATTGAGAAACTCTGGAATAATGCTATACCATAACACTGTCAGCGAAAATAGTATTCATTCTGTCGAGATAGACAACTAGACCACTAGGCATAGATCTTCAAGAGTCCTCAGAACCATGCGCATCAAAATAATATGCTTGGGAACTATGTTCTTCGTCATACTCCTAGTCATCTTCATCATTCCAACTATCTCTATGCGTTCCAAATAAATACCATCTAGGATGCATTCTCGTCCATCTACGTCTACCCTCACGCCTGCGTGATGCTGCTTTCCATAAACTGTTGTTACAGGATCTAGAACTATTAGAAGACTTGCCACTCCTCGTTGACACATGCTGTCAGCCCGACGCAGACGTTTATATCACTCTATTGGCTCTTTGTAGGATCATATTTCTGGTTCTCACGAACATTCACATTGCCGGTTTTCATTCTTTGCTCGCCGAATTTGTCTTTTCTCCTATTTGTTGGCGATCTATTACCAGTTTGCTTCACTTGAATTGAACTGGGCATCGTCGTCGGCTAGATAGAGCATCTGCATTGGTATGCAGTTACCAGATTGCTTTTCTTTATTATTTGAAAATGGTTGAAACTTTTCCATTGAAGACTGAGAGTTACCAAGAGTGGACAGAAAAAAAAAACAATTTAAATGATGAATGTTTAAAGATAGCCAATCCAGACACTATTACAATATCTATAAAAGATTAAAAATAGGTATAAGTATTATCAAAAATCGGCAAAGTTATCTCTAAGAAAACACTAAATATAAATATATTTAGAAAAAAGTATACCCATTGCATATTGTTCTCAATTATTTAAAGTTTGCGATAAAGAGAAATGAGCTCATTTGCGTTTTTTCTGCGGTAAAATAAAGAAAAATATGATATACTAAATATTGAGAAACTCCTATAGCAATTTTACATTGAAATGCGGTTTATGATTAAAAATAGAAATATTAAAATTATAATATTTAAAACAGGTCATACAGGTCAGCTGTTTCAGAGTAGATAAATTTCATAACAGCTATTGAAAGAGTACCTACAGTAAAGAATGGCGTGGTGAAAAAAATTGTTGGTATTTCCAGGAAAATCATCACGGTATCGATAAGGTAGAGAATTTCATACATCTGTCAAAACTGGTATTCCAACAATAAATTGACATGTTTTGATTGTTGATTTGAACCAATCAGATTGTAATTACGCGATAATTTGCACTAGTGCAAATTATCAGATAATTGCATACTAACTGGTGCGAAAACTGGTGTTTTGACATTTTTTGACAAAAAATTTAAATTTTTGATTTATGAAATTCTCTCATTAAATACAACTCGTGCAATGGAAATATATTTATAATTTTCGACAAATTTGCACTCATGCGTTTTTAACTGAAAAAGGCACTCGTGCACTACGTGCACTCGTGCTCTTTTTCAACTAATGCATTCGGGCAAATTTCCCAAAAATTATCAATAATTTCCATTGCACTAGTTATATTACTATTGATAATTAATTATCGGGCAATATAACACCTATACAGGCCTGCTGCGACGAAACCACTTTGGATCAGCACAGCCGCAGTGGAGATAATGCTGGCTGTTTCAAAAGGGGCTCACCTTTCGTCAATCGGAATCACCAAATTAAACAACCATTTCAAATTTTTGTGAACTTTCTATATCACTCTCTGTCTTGTTCTTAGGTATACGGAAGTGCAAATTCCAATTTTCAATGGAGGGTATGGAAACTGGTCTACATTTTTTCGACATTTTCAGAAGAGTCATCCACGGAAACTCAGCGTTGAAGAAAGCCGACAAGATGTACTACCCACGTTCAAACGAATGCCACGGAAGAAGCAAGTAAACTAATCCAACACTTATAACTAATTGCAGTCAACTACGATTCAGCATGGGAACTACTTAAAAAGCGCCGGTCGGTATGATAACGAAAGTCTTCTAATACTTAAGCCCAATTTATAAACTCACCGTCGAGATTCCGTTTGCGTCGAGCCAATTGAATATTAGAAATCCCATAAAATCATTTAAGGCTGAAACCCACTAGCAACACGCCACGCCACCCCACGTCATGTAACACAGGTTCACGTGGGACAGTTTGTGTGCAAATGGACGGATGGCGTGGCGTGCCATGGCGTGGTATCGCGTATGGCAAGTGTGTACGCAGCACATATAAATAAATGGAAGAATATACGCATACATTTTCGTCACATGGCGTGGCGTGGCGAAGCATGACGTGGCGTGTTGCTAGTGGGTTTTGGCCTTTATACTCGTCGTCGGCTTCACAGTTCGCCGTCAGCATAAGAGACTACGGTAACCAGCGAGGCCGACGCAAACGCAGACGAAAACGGAATCCCGACGGCGACTTTATAAATTGAGCTTTAAGCTCCTAGAGAAAAGAAGTAATTTGGTTTTACAAAATCTAAGGGAAAGTACCGTTAGGAAGTAAGTTCTATTTAATTTTCAGATTCAAAATTAGACATGAAATATACAGGATAGACAGCATAAGGTTATTGGAATTTTTCAGGAATTGATTAAAGAAATAGGATTAGATTAAAATTGCCTTGACATTTAGAGAACCAAATTAATAACAAGTCATGGAGATATTTAGGGCGTATCTTTTGAGATATGGATAATACAAGAGGAGGAAATGTTTAAATGTTTTGAGATGACATGGTACATGTTAGGGAAATATGAAAGAAAGTGGAGCGTTCAAATGTGAGAGAGAGAATGGGAGGAAAGAAAATTATATGGGATGAGCAGATAGTGACCAGAATAGGAACATGAAAAAAAGATGATGAGTTAGTTTCATAAAGGAATTGCCGGAATAATGACGCTCTAACGCATCAATAAGTACGCTATTGTTTTGTTATGAAGCTGGCGGAAGTCTCCAATAGGTCTATGCAGTGGCGACGCCAGGGTTTTATGTAAAGGGGGGTTGGGGGGCCTAGAAAAATTCAGGGGTGACACTTGTTTTTAGTTTATTGCTTTGCTTTTGTAGGAGTTTGGTACCCTATTTGAATCAATTTATATCACCCATATCAAAAAAGTTCTGCATATTGAGGTAATGGAAATCAGAGAATTCAGTAAGCGAAAGCAGCGTCGCGGTTGCCTGTGCCTACCGAATTAACCAGCAGAGGCTGCGGATGTTGCGTTGCATTGTTGCCCATGTATGCGTTGTCTGCATAGGCTGGTTCAGCAGACGCAGGTTGCCGCTCCGCTAAAATCTCAATTGTGTGATTTAGTAGTAGAATATTTAGTAATAATTAGTCGAATGGGTGTGGTGCTGCTACGCTACGCTGCTCGAATTTATTGCATATTGCAGAGCAATCAACACATCCTCATATTTTCGATGTACCTAGGTTTCTGCCATGAGAGCAAGTTTTCAGGGGGGTCCGCTGAATTTCAGGAGAGGCCCCGGCCCCCTCTGCCCTCCCTGGCATCACCACTGGGTCTATGGGACAGACATAACGAGTCATGTCATCAGACTCGTCAGAGCTCCTTAACTTCCAAAGTTGCAGGCGAAGCTGAGACATTTCCCGACAAGTCACATTCTAAATTTTTAGTTTTGTTCCGAAATCCGAACACTATAAATTTCTTGGCGGGAGGTTCCAACTTTTTGGAGAAAATTTCCACCTTCCCTATGAGCAGTTCCAATTTGCTGACCAACATTCCCAACTTATTTACTTACTTCTCTCGAAATTATTATCTTGACAGCTACGGATTTTCTCGAGCCTATAATTTGTTCCTCAGATATTATGGTTTAAATCTATTCTCGATGTTCTTTGAACTTCCTGAACCGGATCCTCTACTTCTTGTTTTTATTTTGATCTTCAATCCTCTTGCTGATATGTGAGGGATACCGGTCCTCTGCTTCTTCGATATTTTCTATGAAGTCAACTAACATTGGATTAACTTACTTCATTTTAGCTGTTTGCTGTGGTGTCACCATAGAATACTCACACATTTCTTTCTTTTTAAACACATACCTAAAGCTTCTAAAATTGATAACCTTAATGAGGTTTGACCTGTGGGTATTCAGACTATTCTGGGAAAAATGCTTGAACTGCTAGTCTTCGATATGATGAAAGAGTATTTGGGTAGGCACAATATTTTACCATCAATGCAATTTGGTTTTAGGTCGGGCCATAGCACAGCCTCAGCAATCAGCAATTAACCTCGGATATATCTCAATTAAGTGATCGGTGTCATATTTAACATTGCCTGAATATAGCATTTGATCTTATTAATCACGACTTAGTTATCGCTAAGTTATTGCGTTTTTATGGGTTCTCTGTGTGATTCGGTGGTTCAGTTGTAAACTGAAGTCACGTGTGCAGGCTGTTGAGGTGGATGGGGTGAGGTCAGGGCTGGTTTCTACGACATGTGGGATGCCGCAGGGCAGCATACTGGGTGCTTTGTTATTTAGCCTTTACACCTCTGACTTGCCCAGCCGGGTCAGGGTTTGCTCTATCCATCTCTATGCTGATGATACACAGCTTTTAGCAGGATTCTTTCCAGGGGATTCCTGTGCTGATTTCAATGAAATCAAAAAGGATTTAATGCCTTCAGGTGTGTTCACATGATCTTGGGATCCGAATCACTTATAGATAAGTTTAATATATTTAACTTTGGCACCCTTTGTATCAGTGATGCCATAGTGCTATATGCGGAGAATGCTAAGAATCTTGGATTGATTTTTGACAGTGGCTTGAAATTTGATGCCTACGTCAGAAAAAATATCAGCTCTTTACCACAAATTGAAGTCACTGTACTCATTCAAGTACATACTTCTCCCGAAAGCAAAGCTAATGCTTATAAATTTCTCTGTTACCCTTATCTCGATTATTGTAGCATTGTTTTCTATAATTTCTTAATAGAGGGAATGAAGAATAAATTACAATTGGCGCAGAATGTTTGCATGCGTTTTGTTTACTGTGTGGAAAAATTTGAGCATATAACGCCAGTATACTTTGATCACGGGCATATATAGTTCAACCTGCGTGTCCCTTTATTTTTTGCTCTTTTTTGTATAAAATTTTCAGATCTGGCTGCCCTAGTTATCTCTTTACTATGATTGTGAATAAATAAATAAATAAATGAATAGTCATTATTTCCCACTGGTAGGTACTTAAACCAACTTGACCACAGGGAATTAAGGACTGTACACATGAAATATATCGGACCCTGCATAAGGATATTAGATCTTGCTGCGCTGATATAGGAAGCTGAAGCATGCCGAGATTCGGGGTGAGGAACACGAAATGGCAACTCCCCAAGAAGAAATGAGCAATCGGTTGTATTATAAGTGAGACCATACAATAATTTGAGGCCCTGAATTTTCCTTCTTGTCATTGAAGATGACAAATTAAATCTTTGTAGGAGGCGTAGGAGCAGACTTTGATCACAACCTCTCGGGGGGTATACAACATCCTCTCTAAAAGCTATAAATAGGAAACGTCGTTGCAACGATTCAATATTCGATGGCCTGTATATGGCCGATGGCAGTTATAAATAGGGTTCCAAATTATTGCGACATACTCCAGTCTCGATCTAAAATGAACGCTGGAGCATACTGAAATAAGGTCTCGAATGGCATCTGCAGGCCTACCCAACACCACACCGTCCACAGCATACTTATAAATCAATGGATTATGCTTTCGTCCAAAACTAACAACATAACATTTTGATACATTAAGTACAAGTCTGTTTTTACGACACCATCTATTTATATGGCAAAGACAAACTCTGTTAAAGAGAGTCACAGTATGATGTGCGATCAATTCTATAAAACATTTTCAAATCATCAGCATACGCCAGCCTCCGACACTTAATAACATCGAGATCGTGACAGATCGTCTATGAAGATGAGGAAAAGAAGAGGTCCCAAATTGGATCCCTGTGGAACACACGAAGGGACGACATATGGCGATGACCGAAAATGCTTATATTCAACTTTCGAGAAGAAGTACAAAAGGCAATTGTTTGAATCAATGTTGTAATTGTAAGTTCTAGTTGTGATGTGTTGTCTGTGGGCTTCATGGAAGAATACTAATGCGAAAGTAGCCTTTTGTATATAGTTTTTTCTTATGCGCAATAAAGGTTTATTTATTTATTTTATTTATTTATTTCTTAAAACTTGATTTTAAATATAGGTAGTCCGGTGGCGGTCTCCTACATTGTATAATTTTCAAATTCAATTCAAACACGATGGAATTTTTTCGATTCCTAGTCATCTTTCGACAAATATTCAGCATCGACGTTGGCGCACTTACCAACATAACTTTCGGACATATCTTGAAAAGGTTGTAATGCCCAAACTAAGGTCTCGATCTACAATGCCACCAAACCAATACTATTTGGTTGTGAAACCTGGACTATCACTAGCGGTGCATAAGAATTCTTAAAATAGAATGGCGGGATCATCGAACAACTGTATCTCGTATCCTTAAGGAAACCAATTCCATCAGTATTAAGGCCAGCTGATTCAACATCACCTTCGCTCGGCTAGTCATGTCGTCGAATGCCAGACTCACGTCTTCCTAAGCAAATTATTTATTCCCAACTAGAAAAATTGCCAATGCAGTCAAGAAGGACAATTTAAAGATACGAAGAGGTCCTCGAGACAAATATAAAAGCGTGTCAGATCGATATGGGTGACTGGGGAGGCTACGCTAGCGTCCCAGTCACCCATATCGATCTGACACGCTTCTACGGCCCTGAATATGGCGGCAATCAGACAAAGTATCCATCTAGGCTCGGAATATTTCGAACACAAAAAGCGAATCGTTGCGGAGAGCAGAGGACGAACGGAATCGTAGAAACGAACGAAAAAGTTTGATAAGAGCTGCTATACAATCACAACAGAGACCGTCTGCCGCTGTTTGGATGTGCAGCCAATGTGGGTCCAGAATAGGCTCATTCCAGTCATCAACGAACCCACAGATAATGATCATGTCAAGACTGTTATAATACTCGTTAGCGAATGAATGCCTATAACACAGCTTTAATGTCTGTATATTTGAAGGATTGTCATGATAAGACACGCCTATGTACTCGGAATCAAATTTTACAGACGGTTATCAGAATGTTTTCGGTTTATCTTCGATGCTACGTAATATTTTGATTAGGAAAATTTGTGTTGCTTAATGCCGATGATTTGTTATGTTGACCTGTAGTACTTTATAAAACGTATTTCATCTACAAATTTCTGAATGGTTTCAATATACACTGATTGCGTTCATTGAAATTAAAAACAAAAATTAAATTTGTGAGAAAAAAATACTATGTAAGTATATTAGGAAGGAAGTTAGCTGCACGATTAGTACCATTATAATTATATATTCTGGTAGTAGGTAATTATTTACAGAAATTTATTTATTTTTTTCTGCAGTGACTTGCAATTAATCATATATTACATCATTTATCTGTTGTTCTAAATAATCCCAATTCGTACCCTACTTTCCTTAGTGTAACCACCATCATCGACGGAAACAGTTTTAATAAATTAACCGAAAACTAATTAATTAATCTAAATAGATAGCGCTTCGTGGATCAGACAATCGGTCGCATTCTAAAAATAATTAAATTGAATATCGATCATTTCAATATATAGTTCAGTCAGGCCAGCTGTTGACGAAGTACCAGTGTTAGTTTTTCAGTAGTACCTACCTACCATAAATTCCATTTATTAAAAAAAGTGATATTAGTAGGGGAATATACAGATTTTCGATACTGGTAGATGCGACCAGAATTCTAATAGTGATCCGGTCGAGTGATAACAACGAAGATATTTTGTAACTGGAAGTGGAATTTTCTGGAAAATATGAAGTGTGCTGTTGTTCTCTTTGCGGTAATAGGTAAGCACTAGAAACATTTTAATTATAGAATTCTATTTTTTTTTCTCTAAAACAAATTACCCATTGATTTGAAAAAAATGGTACCATATTCCATTGAAATTTGGAGGATTCATGGTAAGATTCTGATGCAACCTACAATGCGCTTGATTGCACGGTTTTTTACCTTTTAGTTTAAAAAAAAATCATTTCCGCAAAACTGATTTTTAGAAGGCTGACAATAGAACATAAATTATTACAAATTGTTGTAGAATGTTAAGAATTATTGACTGTATTTAAAGTACCAAAGTATAGGTACCTTCCTGATTTATGCTGGTGCGTAGTATTTTCAGTGCTTATTTTAGTAATCACTTTTTTGTTTACTAACGATTGTAATTTAAAAGTTCATTGTACATATAATTTCAATATTTTCAAATGTGTCACTTCTTAATTCTGCTTCAAATTGAATTTGGCACAAGCTAGTAAGGTAGCTACTTCTTTGAAAATATAAATTTGGAAATTTTGTTGTTTTATAAGTAGGTATATAAAATATAAGCACATGGCCACTTTTTCCTATTATCATAATTATAACGTTATATATAATATGACCTCTATAAAAACATATTGATTTTATTTATCAATGTAAATAATTTGAACTTCATCATCGAGTTCTGTTTGAGTTGAAAAAACTTTATCACCAAAAATATCAAATTTCAGTCTAATACAATTAAGTATCACATAAGGAATATTTAAATGATTGTTTAAGTTCGGTCTTGTCCTTGTTTGAATACCTTTTTACAAAGAAGGAAGATAATTTAAAAACACTTAAAAAAATAGTTACAAGATTAACAAGAAAAGCCAAAGGAAAGGTTATTTCAATGTTGAACGCTTCGAACAAATTATTGTAGACTTTATTAATTGCTACTTGGTTTAAACATACCTTTAGGAAATTATTCATACAGGGTGACATTTTAAAAACTTACAATGGCTATATCTCAGGAACCAAAAAAAATATAAAAAATCGCTGAAAACAATTTCTATATTAGGGAGGGGGAAACAAAATTATGTAATAACTAACTTGTTTTCACTCACCCCCAGCTACCCCAACTTAGTAATCTCAAATGACACCCCCCTACTTGTGATACCTTATCTGGAAGCTCTTAAAAAATGCTTTTCAATGGTACCCTACAAGCTAGGATTCGATGTGATTATTTTTGGTTTATGGGGTAAATAAAACTTCATTCATTTGAATTAAAATTGTATTTATTTAGACTTGTCAATTTTTCAGGTTCCCAAAACAACGAATATACAAAAAATAATACAAGCCCAAAATTTTTAAGCCTTAAGATTAAGGCTACGATAGTAAAAAAATGTTTTTAAATTTTTATTAAATTATTAATCAAAAATTCGATTCACATTTCAGAATAATTAGGATTGAATTGTTGGCGGCAATCCTATCCAAAGAGTTCTATTCATTATAAAATGTCAGAATATTTCTATCAAAATTCTGTCAAAAAAGGTAAACAAAAATTTAATCGCTGATAAACAAGGTCTTGTGAAATAATCACTTATTTAAACAAAATTCATTCAAAAAATGACATTGTCTGATGGGTCTATTTTATAATGAATGAAATAATCAAATAAAAAATGCACAGGTGGTGCAGTTATTGATACCTAACTGCCGTTCCTGAAACGTACTTCTCTGGATAATAAGAAAGTCAGTATGTGTTTTATATTTTCGCTATTATTGATTTACAATTTTTATATTTTGCAGACCTTACCTATACAATGGGACGCATTTTAAGTAGTAATAGTTTTTCATTACCTATACAATGTGATTTTTTTAATGTGCAACATATGAGGATTTTTTTTAGTAATAGCACAACCCAAATACAAACAAGGCCAAAAGTTCGTGCATGTCTGATAATCATATTAGGTGCACTTAGAATGGTTGCAAGTCAAACAGCATACAGGGTAGCTTAAACAATATCAATGCTGTACTGTAAAGTACCCTTATCTTAGAAAATTCAGCAAAATGCTATAGAGAAAAGTTGTTTGGAATTAAAAGTTATGCCTAAGTACCAAAACATAGCCTCCTAAGATTTTTTTTTATTTTTTTTTCGAAAAAAATCTTTAATTTCTATATTTTTTTTTATTTTTTATTTCCGCCCTTAATACTTTCAAAAATTAATTAAAATCAAATCAATTTTACATAGGTAACTTTGTTCAAATTCAAGCATATTTGTAAAATTAACTTAGATTTTTAATTTTTTATGGAATCACAAAATTCATGTTTGTTGCAATAATATTCAACACAACTTTAAAATGTCGCAATTTTTTTTCTAATGATAATAGCCATATTAAAAAAACTCTCCTTAAAGTGCAAAAGTTTTATTTTATTCAAGTAAATATTACTACAATTTTGATATTTTTTGAGCTACCCTGTATGCTGTTTGACTTGCAACTATTCAAAGGGCGGGTATTATAAAACTGCTTTGAAAGTTAACTTGAAGTTAACTTTCTGAATTACATGTAATTCCAGAAGTTAACTTTAAGTTAACTCTCAAAGTAGTTTTATAATACCCGCCCTAAGTGCACCTAATATGATTATTAGACATGCACCAACTTTTGGCCTTGTTTGTATTTTGATTGTGCTATTACTAAAAAAAATCCCACATGTTGCACACTTAAGTAATGACACTGTATAGGGTGTCCATGTGTTAGAAGTTTTGATAGTATGTAGAAAAATTGTTCATTTTTTTTTCTAAAATCCCGCACTGAATGACATAGAAATGTACTGGGGCTCAAATAAAAAATAAAAATGATTGAGTAGGACCTTTAAAGTTTGAAGAGTTTGACACCAAATCTTGGACATCCTGTAATATAGTTCAGATCAACCAAACTTGATCAGATCAACAAGGCTGACATTACCTTACTCAATGAGTACCTCAATTTATTTTATTCACAAAGTACCATTAACTTGTAATTTTCATCCATTTTTAAAATCATTGGTGCAAAACAGCTTTTATTTATTTCCTCGAAAAGTACGGAACCAATTGCAACAAAACTTTATGGGTCTGTAGATATCCATAGGAGATATTCAAATATGCAGAAAAATAGGATAAGGATTCTAAAATAATAAATAATTATGACGTCATGTTTTTTTGGATACCCTGTTGGGACTAACTGTTTTCTTAAAATGTACAAGTAACGTCCGCAAAATATAAAAGTTCTAAATCAATTGATAATCTAGCTACATGAAACATGAGCTGGAAAGCGGGTCCCTGTATACTTTATAAATTCTCTAATGTAATACCACAAGAGGTTTCAGGATTACCGAATAATACTTTTACCTGTCACGAAATGCGTTACGCAGCAACACCACGACTCCGAAGGAGGAGTGGTGTTGCTGGTAATGCGTTGAGTGTCAGGTAAAAGTATTAGGTAATCCTGAAACATCGAGTGGTATTCAAAAGGTTATACAACGAACTAAACTTTAATACTTTAAAATTTAAAAAAATGTCTATAATAGAATTTGCCATAAACGCCACCAAACGCGATAATCCCAAAAGGCTTATCACTTCTTAAGCCTCTCGTGTCATATGGGAATAATGTACAGTGAGTTGTATAATCCATATAATTCTTCTGGTCCTGACTCCTAAAACTCGTCCAATTTTCAAGAAGCTACTCGGTTTTTTTAACTTCTTCCTTTATTAGGTAGGTAGGTACCTACTCTTTTTGGTAGGTACCCAACGGATTTTATGTTTTTTTTGCCTGTCTATCTTGTTTAAACTGCCCGTTCTGTCAGTAATTTTTCAAACATAATACTTCTCATTGGTCATTGCTGGAGCGGAAGAGTCTAGGGTGGGGTGCTGATTGCAGTTAATAAAAACCAAAAATGTAAACTATCGTCAGTGGGAAAGTCCGAGCTGCTGCGAAAAATGGCAAGCAAGTCCACTCCCACGGCGCGTGGCTCGGCAAGCTAGTACAGCTAGGCTCGCCAAGCTACGCGTTGTGGGATGCCGGCTTTACACTGAGAATCTTGATATTTTTCTGTACGGTAATTTAAACAGTTCAAAGTTATCATGGATCGATGATGATGAGTATGGAAGCGGGCCATGCTATTATTATAATTTTAAATGTTCCAATCATAGGTAAATTGAGCTGGTATTATCAATGGTTGATTGGGGTAGTGTTCTTTAAATTGATGACTTGGAGGAATCCAGTCAATCTTTTCATAATATTGTCTGCGGTGCGTGACAGAAATCTTGGGTCCGTTTATTCCAAAATCAATGTCCAATTACCACAACAATAATTAATTCCACGTTACTATATACATACTCTGACACTAATTAAAGTCCGTCGATTTTAATCTGATACTCCAAAGGAATGCGAGCTGGTGGTACTCTACATTAGAACGCCAATGGTCACCTGACGTCACACCTGTTTTTGCCATATGCTTCACCCCCTCGCGCCTCATACGGAAAGTGTCAGATTAAAAACGACGGACAATACTCCACTAATTAACTCAGCAACTTAACTCTTTACAACTCCTACAATAATCACTATCTGGAACGTATCACAGCCAATCTCAAACTTAAAAACTACTAAGTAATACCGGCCATTATACAGGGTGTTCATTTTAAAAGTTACCACCGCTATTATCTCGGAGTTGAAAAATTTTCGAAAAAATCCCTGAAATACGTCAACTATAATTTGAAGAGGGAAAAGTTTTTATCAAAATTCACCTCCCCCTCAACCCCCCAGCCCCCAGAGCCACTTCCTAGAAAATCTTAAATGAAAAGGGGGGGGGTCAAGTGATACATCATTTTGAAGGGTTTTTAATTCCATACATTTTCGTACTAAATTTTAATACCTAAGTTCAACTGTTTTGGAAATATTGACAGTTGAAAATTGATTTTTTCGCAACTTTGACAGACTGTAAAACTTAGACGGGTAATTTTACAGAAAAACCGATCTTACATTCTTGTCTTAGATTTTCATAAACTATCATTTGACACCAA